AGTCCCTTACGTCATGTCTTTATTACTATCTCTTTTCCCAATTTAAAAAGAAGACATCTAGCCACCCCCCATTTGGAGAAGCAAAACTGGAAAAAAATTGTGACTGTTATTGCAAAAATAAAGGCAAACACTGTGACAGGCACCTCATTGTAATTTCTAGTTTGTCGCATCGCTATACTTCTGGTGTGACAGTTTTCAATGGGCCATTTCCGAGTGTCCTTGTGCTTCTGCTTCTTAACGAGTTTCCGTACAAAACCTTTCTTCTGGAAATGAGTTTGATTTGCCTGAAAGTGAATCTGATTGCAGAACTCATTTTCTTATGACTGGTTCTGTACGTAGACTCGTTTTGAGATTAAGTTCCGATTCTCAAATTACAACTTTTAAGGGGCTTGCCACATTGATTTTGCAACCTCAAGGCACTATTCAACCCCTCTCCCCTTGAAAAATCCTGTATCCGCCCCTGAGTTGTTGTAAAACAAAGAAAATATGGAGATTTTAAACCATGCAATAAAAATACAGCCAATCAGAATAATGAAAAACCGTTGAAAAATCGGTGGTATCACATCCAACTTTATCATCATGCGCCGCACGTATGTCGAATTGACTGTGTTATCCAATGTATTTTCTATGGCATGGTATAAAACAGTTATAAAACGTTCTGTTGTTGTATACCATGGAGTATCCCACTTGTCCATTGTATTTTCTTGGTAAAAACACTCTCGCGTAAAGGATCGACTGTATACGAGAAAATGAAAGTGACTCGTGTGATATTCCTCGGTATAACACTGGAAAGCGTTGTGCCAAGTGAGTGTAACTGTTTTCTTCCAGCGACAAACAGTCTAAACAAAATGTAGACAGAATAGAAAACTGGCAAAAGTCTCAGGGAATTGATTGAAAGCTAATTCATGTTTTGTCAAAACTTTATTATCACTAGGCGTGAGTTAAGATATAGATTTAGCCAAGCCTAAGAGCGGAGCTCCTGACATTTGCTTTCCTTTGAATTGATCAATTTTAGCAAGTAATTGTTTAGCGTGTGGTTTCACTATTTTTTTCCAGTTAAAAACTTAACAGGGGCTTCCTAAGAGACAATTTTGCAAGGAATATCTCGGAAGAAAAGTCAACAACTCGCCAGGGATTAATTAGCGTGAAAAGTTTGTCTTTTACGTACCTCCTCCTCCCTCAGAGTAAAAACCTGGCTTGAGCACGCGAACCAATCAAAACCTAGTATCTTGGAACGATTATGTGGACTTTAAATCTGTCGATATCAATGCCTTATCGGCAAGAAGCTGTAGAGTATTACGTGAAGAAAATGATGGGCATGTTCGAATGCGGACATTCGTTTGCACGGCTAGTTTCTATCAAATCCTGGTTCAATTGCTGGAAGCTAGAGGGAAGTCTGCTTGGAACTCGAGAAATAATTGCAAAACGCCAAAATGCTAGGCAAAAA